CCCGTCCGGCCCCTTCCCCGCGGCGCCGGCCCTGCCTTGTCCTGCTTTGTGTCGCGCCCGGGAGGCTCGGGGTCCGCAGCCCTGACCTTTCGCGTGGTCTCAAGGCCTAGTATTTATTTGCCCTCTTTGCTGTCACCAAACTGGCTTAGGTTTTGATACTTTCTGAGATTTCTCAGTCGCGAAAGTCATTTCTGTGCGTTACGTGAAAGGTTGTTTTGTTTTCCCAGGCCAGATACATTCTTACAACCCCCACAAAATCTCGTCAACATGTTTTAATGGGCGAATTTGTGATGTGTAAAGTCTGTTTTAAGTGGGCGATTTTTAAAAGGCCAACAGCGGGGTTATTTTTCCCTCTCTCAAAAGTGTTGACCTTTACATCCAAAAAAATATTTTGAAGCTCATTTACATAGAAAGGATGTCTGTACAAGCCGGGTGAGTAGGGGGGTCTCGGCTTAGTGGCAGCAAACCTGAGGCAGAAGGATCTCGAACTTGATTGAGGTGGGCTGGAGTGAGGGGAAGGTTTCTGTCATTGCCCACCTCAGCCCTGTTCTTAAGAGAGGGATGATATGTTTCCTTCTAGAAGTGTTTAATTATGTCCAAGTACATATACGTGTATCTTTTATGTAACATATAATCACACGCTCCGCCCCAGTCTGTTTTCACTTTATATATGGGATCTTTTTCCACATGAAGCTGTAGAAAGAAATCCATTTCATTCTTTTTGAGGAAACATCGGTTTGCTGAATCTATTGTATTTATTTAACTTGTCCTCTTTTGATGGGCATTTAAGGTTATTTTCAGGTAAGGTTTTTATGTGTTTAAAAAATACTGACATTGAAATGAAAAGGGACCAGAGTCTACCCAGGGTTTTTGTTTGTTTCTTGGAGTTATTTGATTCAATACCAGCATCTGCAGTGCATTGCTACTCTTATTTCTTTTCTTTTCTTTTTTTTTGTACCAGGGATTGAATTTTGGCCATTGCACTTTCGAGGCAGGTGGCGGAACCACTGAGCTAATCCCTGGCCCACTCCTCATTTCTAATACTGACTTTTCCCTCATACTGCCGTTTGAACGCAGGGCTTTCACACTGAGTTGCATCCCCAAGTTGTGATCTTCCTGCCTCCATCTTCTAGAGCGCTGGAATCACAGGCAGGCGCCACCAAGACCAGCTAGCATTGATCTCCACAAATAATAGTGTCTTGTAGTTAATTCAGCATTGTCAGAAGGTTAAATGGACTCTTACTAAATGTTCTTGACGCAGTATATTGAAATAGGTGTTTGTAAGCACTGCTCAGGACTGTAGGCTGGGACTGGTTGGTGAGAGGTTATCCAATATACAGGGGAGTGAGAATCCTTAAAAAATTACCTGAAAAATTACCGAGCAGTGAAGGATAATTATGTGGTTAGGGAAACCTTCAGGAAACAGTGTAGATAATTTATGAAAACAGAACATTTTTTAAAAGTAAATTGAAAAGCCAATTAAACAAACTTAAAAAATGAAGAAACAGTACTCCGTGATTATTTCCTGCCATTCTTGCTGTCTGGTGGAGGCTTATGCCTATAAGCTCAGCTACTTAGGAGGAACAGGATTTGAAGGTCAGCCTGGGCAACATGGTGCTAAGAAACTCTCTCTCTCTCTCTTTCTCTCTCTCTCTCTCTCTCTCTCTCTCTCTCTCTCTCTCTCGCGCGCGCGCGCGCGCACACGCACACACACACACACACACACACACACGCCAGGCATGGTAGTGCAAGCTTTTAATTCTAGCACTCTGGGAGGCTGAGGCAAGAGGATCACCAGTTTGAGTCCACTGGGCAACTCAGCGAGGTAGAGAGGCCTTGTCTCAGAACTCAAAATAAAAACAGAAAAGGGCTGGGGACGTGGCTCAGCTTGGAGGCCGGGAGTTCAGTGGAAGTGGGGGTGGGGTGGGGGGAGGACGGCAGGCAGAGAAGCCAAGGCTGGAGGGAAAGGAGAAGATAGCTTGTCTGAAGTCCGTGTCCATTCTGGAGTTTTAAGGAGATCTATTTTTAAAATAAATAAAGAATGATAATTTCTTCAAAAACTTAAAAATTCAGGCCAGGAGAATGAGAAGGTCATGCGAGAGGCATCTGGGGGTCATAGTTCAGGGTGCTGTACTGAGGGGGCTCCTGGCTGAGCAGGGGCAAGTCCCACGGCTCACACGGGCCCTCCGCCCGCCCCAGGTCGCTGCCCACCACGCCTCACTCGCACTCTGGGCGCCCGAAGCGCTGCTCCTGGGTGCTGGGTCCCTCGCTGGCGCTCTGCAGTGAAGTGTGGGCCACTCTAACAAGGACAACAGAAACAAAGGGTGGAGGTGCTGTGGGGGTGTTGTTACAGATGCGAATGATGTGTCCGTTAGTACGGACGCGAAGAATAGTCTGCGTTACAGATCGTTGTTACAGAACAGTGTCTGGCACAGTCCTGTAATATACGGAGAATATATTCTCAATAAATATCTGTGCACGGGTTGGAGGTTTCCGCAGAGCCAGAGCCGAAAGAGCCGTAATCTCTTAAGAAGTTGCTTCATGCTGTTTTTGAGACACGGTTTCCCTACGGAGTCCAGGCTGGCCTTGACTTGTCTTGATCCTGCCTCAGCCTCTGGGTGCTGGATTGCAGGCAGGCGCCACCGCGCTGGGCTTGCTTCATTCTTTCTGATACTCAAAGTACATCATATTTATTATACAGAAAGAAAAATATCATGAGATATTAAGATCCTCCATAACTACGTCTCTTCACAGAGGCAATTGTAATGAACCCTTCGGTGTTGTCTAGAAGTTGCAGTCCTGGAGATCTAACACTTCCGTGCTTTCTACTGATTGATGATTGTGATACTGGAGATCGTTTGGGGTGTTGTACTAGATCAGCCCTTTTTAAAAATTTTTGATATAAAGTCTCTCTAAATTTCCTGCGACAGGCTTGAACTTGTGATCCTCCTGCCTCAGCCACCCTAAGTGCTGGGATTACAGGTGTGTACCACCTTGCCTGGCTCTCTTTATTTTTTTCTTTCTCTTTTTCCTCTATGTTCCATTGTATTGGTAATATTATTATATTTTGGACACTCTATTCATATTTATTGTGGGCATGCTCACACATTGTAAGCAGTCTTTAAAATGCTTAATTTCATAAAGATTGCAAGTTCTTAAACATTTTTCCTATAATTGGACATTTATGTTGTTAGTCATTCTTTGGTATAATGAATACTATTATGACTCTCTCTCATGGATATTTGGCAGCATCTTTCCTTATTTCCTTCATATAAATTTCTAGTGTGTACTTGCTAGGTATAAAGCACCATTTCATGAGGGTGATCTATTTTATGGCTTGTGGTTATATCTTATGGCTAAAGTTTAAAATCATCCCAGGAGTTGAGTTCCCTGTTTAAGTTTAAAAATGTGTGGAGCAAACTTTCCCTAGCAGTGGTTGTGATAGACAATCCACTTCTCAAAATAGGCTCTGAAAGAAAAGTTTATTCCAATGAACAGGGGCTAAAGTCAGAAACTAAAGTCAGGACATTCTAGCAGCTAGCTGGGAAAAGCCAAGTTTATCAATCCATGTGTGGATGGACTGACACCAGGAGAGAGAGAGATTGGCTACTAATGGGGGAAGGAATTAGGCTTATGCAGGTATTGAAGGGGCTAAGTTATCTGGGCTGAAATGTTTATAACTTGGATGTCCAAGGACAGTCTGCTCAGGTGTGTACATGATTACTGGACTTTTTGGTGCCACAGGGGTTGTATACTTTGTTTTGCGTCCTTTTGCCCTATGTCCTAAGACACTGCTGTTGTTTGCTAAAAGCAGCCTGTTTGCTTTGTCCTGTTGGTTTAGGCCAGGCCTGACAGTGGTGACCTCACCGTTACCTATTGGGGCCTAGAAGTTTTTCTTATCTGTAAGTGTAGCTGTGGATATATTATTAAAACAGAAGGTTTCTTCTGTGAGGGTGAAGATAGTCTCAGGAGGTGGAAGGGGGCAGCGGAGACGTGGGCTGCCTGTGGACTGCAGCAAACTTGGAGGCCCCACAGAGCACACTGGGCCCTGGGCCGGGCACTGGAGTTGGATCTCATCTGTCATTCAGATGAGCAAAATGAGCTCTGGAGAGGTTAAAGAATTTGCTCAATAATAAACAGCATTTTCCGCTCACTTAAGCAGCACATGTACTAACACTGGAACAATACAGAAAAGATCAGCATGGACTCCGCTCAAGGATGAAAGAGAATTTCAGGAAACATTCCATAAGAAAAGAAATGAAAAGAAACAGCATTTACTGAGGGTCCAGGGGAAAAATCCAGGTCTCTTTCCTATGTGTCCGGTAAATAATCTTTCTACTATGAAGTATTTCCCAAATTGAGATTCATGAAATAATATTAGGCAGACAAAATCTTATATTGAGAAAAATAAATCTATAGTTCATGAACATCATAGCTCACTTATTTAAAAAGGTGAATCACTTTAAAGGAAACCATAATAAAAGAAAAGCTCACCTATGGTAGAAATTGTAAGGCTGACCCACAATCACTTGGAGTTTGAATCTTGCTTCTTTTCCATGTTCTGGGGAAATCAGTCTTAGTGGCTAAATCTCCAACACCCCTGTTGGTTCCCAAGTTCGTACAAGTCTCACAAAATGCCCCTCAACGCACACGAAGCACAGGCATGTAATTAGGGTGACAGAGCAAAGTATTCGTGTGATAATTTTAGTTGAGTAGCCAGTACACTCACACAGCTTGGAATCCCACAAGATCTACAAAGCATTATGTGGTGCTATTTCATGCACATACAACCAAATATTTACCTGGTCTTCATTCGGTGCTTTTGTTTTATATAAGGAGTAACGCACTCTATGTACTCTTCTGAATCCTCAACAATATTGCTTTCACAAGGAGTGCCTCATTTCATTTTTCTCCCCAACAACTTTACTGAGATATGATTCATATTACATAAATTTACCGATGCAAAGTGTACAAGCCAGTGGAGTTTAGTATATTTGTAAATTGTGCAACCATCTCAACCTGTTTTAGAACGACTTCACTACTCACAGAAGAAACCGGGCCACCCAACCTCGCCCGAGCCTCTGACAACATTAATGCACCTCCGTATCTCTTGATTTGCTTATTCAGGACATTTCATACAATATTTGGTCTGGCTTGTTTGACTTAGCATAGTTGTTGCTATTGTTTTATTTATTTGTTTTGTTTTTTGAGACAAGTCTTTCTTTGTAGTTTAGGCTGACCCTGAGCTCACTATGTAGCCCAGTGTGGCCTGAAACTTGCAGCGATCCTCCTGCCTCAGCCTCCATATGCTGGGATTACAGGCGTGCGCTACCATGCCCAGTTCTGTTCTGGACACTTTATGTATGTAGATGGAATCATACAGTGAGTAGTCTTTGGGGTCTGGCTTCTTTCACTTAACATAATGTTTTCAAGGTTCATCCATGTTGTAACATGTATCAGTACTTCGTTTTGTTTTATTGCTGAATACTTTTCCATTTATGGATATATCACATTTTATTTATTCATTTATCAGTTGATAGACATTTCCACTTCTTTGAATAATGCTGTTATGAGCATTCATGTACAAGTTTTAGTATGGGTATATAAGTTTTTTAACTTTATTTTAAGTGCTTAGGAGAGGAATTCCTAGATCATATAGGTAGTAACTTTTTTTAATCTTTTGAAAAGCTGACAAACTGCTTCAGTTTTCCAAATTGACTGTGCCATTTTGTGATCCTACGAGCAGTGTATGAGGGCTACAAGTATTCCACACTCTTGCCAATACTTGTTATTATTTGTCCTTCTGAGTCGCCCTTTTAATGAATGTGCGGTGCTATCTCACTGTGTTTTCTGTGTGCGTCTCCCTAATGACCAATAACGCTGAGCATCTTTTCATGAGCTCATTGGCCATTTGTATCTCTTCTCTGGAGAAATGCATATTCAGATCCCATGCCCATTTTAAAATTTTTTATCTGTTCTGTTCTTTTATTAGTACTGTGACTATTATTATACTAGTACAGGTTCCCATACCTAATGACTACACTCACTGTGGGGAGTTCCTTCATGTACACAACACGTCTCAGAGCCTTTTTTCACAGACACCGCCCCCCCCCACTGCCTCTTGGTCCCTTTTCTATTTGCAAAAGTTCTATTAATTATTTAGGTATTTAGATACACGTTTCTTATCAGAGACAAGATTTGCAAAAATTTCCTTCCAAACAAAAATAAAATTTGCCTTCCGTCCCATGGACTGTCTTTTCTTTTTCTTGATGACACTCTTTGAAGTACAAAGTTTTCACATTTTAATCGTGTCCATTTAGTTATCCCTTTGTTAAATGCCAAGTCGTGAAGATTTATACCTGTGTTTTCTTTTCGGAGTTTTATAGTACTAGCTCTTACATATTCATATTGAGTTAATTTATTAAATATGGTATGAAGCAGTGGCCCAAATTCATTCTTTTATATCTGATTGTTCAGTTGTCTTAGCAACATTTGTTGGAAAGACTTATTTTCCTCATTGAATTGTCTTGGCACCCTTGTTGAACAACTGACTGTAAATCTGAGGGTTATTTTTAGCCTTGAATTCTAGTCTTGAATCCATGTGTCTCTTCTCATGCTAGTTCCACACGGGCTTGATTGCTGTTTTGAAACTGAAAGTGTTGTGTCCTCCAAGTTTTTTTTTCTTTTTCGAGGTTGTTTTGCCTGTTCTGGGTCCCTTGCATTTCCGTATGAATTTTAGGATCTGCTTGTTAATTTCTGAAAAGACATCAGGTAGATAGGACTTGATAAGATTACACTGGATCTACGGGTCATTTCTGGAGAGCATTGCTATCTTAACATTATTCTTATAGGCCATAAATATCACATGTCTCTTCATTTAGTTCTTCTTTAATTTCTTTCAACAATATCATTGTTTTCAGATTACAAATTTTGTACTTCTTTTCAAAAATGCCTGGGCAACTTAGTGACAGTGAAATACTATCTCAAAATAAATTTTTTTAAATAAGGCTTGGGATGTAGCTTAGTACAAAGGCCCTGGATTCAAACCTCATTTGGGAAAATTTTTAAAAATAAAAAATGTATGAAAAGTAAAATTTAGGTGCATTTATAAACTAGATCCTTTTTGTTTATTTTTCTGGACTAATTTTCCTAGAGTTCCAAGTGTAATGTCTATTAGAAAGAGCAAGAACAGATTATGTTTTCTTAAAGCTCTTCTAATGATGAAATTAATCACTTTATTAGTTAGTCTTACCACCTAAATTCATCTTTTGCCATTGATTGGATGTTTATTTTTCGAGACAGGGTCTCATATGTAGTTTTTATTGGTCTTAAACTCATTAGGTAGCCCAGGTTGGCCTTGAACTCGGTGATCCTTCTGCCTCAGCTTCCCTGAGTGCTGGGATTACATGTGTGTGTCACCAAGTTTAGACTGGTTAGATGTTTAAAAGAAGGCAGGACTTGAAGTATAGGAGGGGAGGAATGTGACAAACTAAATTTTTTTAGGACTCATCCCTGGAGCATTGGAAATTTTTACCTTTTTTTCTCCAAACGCTGCTGAGGATGTTAGGGCTCTGTCTGCCCAGGGCAGTGACCAAAGGCTTGGCAACAGAGGTCCACACATACTAAGTCCATGGACCTTTCCAGAGGTGATTTTAGTTGAGACCCGAGAGCTCTTGCAGAATACAGGCCCTCTCCCAAATGCTGCTTGTAAACCCGGTAGTGCACCTGTCAAATGGCAGCCAGTTTCCATGCAGTTACTTCTTGGTTAGAATATAGTTTTATGCATTTAACAATTTGGAATCTGTTTTGAGGTCAGTATTGCAATTCATACAAAGAGTTATGAAAATGGTCAAGTATACCATGCCCCTTTAATCTGATTCCTGGGAATTTATCTATCAGAAATAACTCAGGAGAGAAAAAAATGACAAAGAAAGAAGAAAAGGTGAGCTCTTAAAAGTAATAAGCTGGTTTACATAATATAAATGTGCAACAATTTCTGAGAGGAAGTATATTTTTATATATGAAAAATGAACATGGATAGATGTTGTTGGAGGAGATACTTAGCAGAAGTGGTCCTATAAGATCACATAACAATTTTTACAAAATAATGCATAGTGACAGAAGAACAGAGAAATGTATATATACAGATTATAATAGTCTTACAGTTCTAAGTTATGCAAATAGTTTGGTAAGAGTTGTAAAGGAAATTAAGATTCTGTTGCATAAGAATGACACACCAGATGTGGTGGGATGAACCTGTAATCCCAGCACTGGGTAGGGCACAGCAGGAGGATTCCTGCAAGTTGGAAGCCAGTTTGGGCTACACAGTGAATGCGAGTGCAAAGCCACCCGAAACTACATAGTGAGACCCTGTCAAAGAAAAAAAAAAGTTGTGGCCGATATTATCAAACTGTTCATAATCTTTTATGTTTTATTAATTACAGCGTAACACGATCACAGTGCTAGCCTGGACAAAAATTGAATTGTACTATGATAGCGGCTCCTGTTTTAAATGATTGGAAAAATCTCCACAGTAACATGATAGCAAGCACTTAAACGGAGCCACCTTAAAATAATATCTATTTAAAACTCTTATCTGAAAAGAAAACAATTTCAATTATTCCATGTATTCTTTTTTTCTGATAGAAAATTTAGAAAATACAGAAAAGTTTTGCAAGTCTGTAAAAATGAATCACTCGATTCTATCATACATAAATGACTATGGTTTTGTGTTATTTTTTAGAAAATACAGAAAAGTTTTGCAAGTCTGTAAAAATGAATCACTCGATTCTATCATACATAAATGACTATGATTTTGTGTTATTTTTTCTGGGTGTTTGTTTATACTTAGACACTTTGCATACTGGAGGATTTTAAATGGCGGTTATGGCTTGTGTTTAGATGCCCTCCAAAGCACGTGGTCACGGGTGGGGCTTTTTCTGAGATGGCTGATTTAGAGCATGTGACACTGGAATTGATTCATGTTAGACTCAAGGACACTAGGATTGAGAGTGTATGAACCACCCTCGGTAGCCTGGACAAGATAAAAAGGGTAGAAAGATGCTGCTAAGTCCCCTTGTTGCTATTGCTCTCTTCTGCTTGCCATGGGTTTCTCCTCTGGGATGCCCCTGTGCCATGTGCTGTTCTGCCTTGGAGCCAGCCAACTATGGACTGAAATATCTACACACTGTGAGCTAAACCTTTCCCCTTTTAACTTTGGGTGTCAGGTTTTTTTGTCTCAGCAAGGAGAGAAAAGTAACTAAGACATAGAGAAATTATTTTGGAACCTCTGTTTTTAGTTGAAAAGTTAATGATACACATTTCCTTATGGGTGTGCTACTAGAGCCATTTCCTAAGGGCCTGGAATAGGATGAAACAAATAAATGTGTACGCTCATCTTTACTCTCTCTGCTATAGAAATTGGTGTGTTAGCCAAGACTTTCATCGACCAGGGGAAGCTCATCCCAGATGATGTCATGACTCGGCTGGCCCTGCATGAGCTGAAAAATCTCACCCAAGATAGCTGGCTGTTGGATGGTAAGTGGTGTGTTGTGAGCATTTCTGTGGGCAAAAAATATTAAGCATTTCATGGGCTGTGGTCAGTTCCGTCAAGAATGGCAGTAAGAAGGCTTTAGTTCTGCCACTTACTACCCTGTGGCCTTGGGCCGTTTTCTTTTAGCCTGTTTCTTTAAAAGGAAAACGGGAAATGGACTGCGTGATTTCTAAATGCTGGTCAGATGTACAAGTATTACTAGTTCAGTTCCCCCACGTTTGAGAATATTTAATCATGAGGAAGGTTCACCATAACAGCAGGAAGCCCCTGGAATAACTCAGAATGAGCTGTAAAATTCTCCAGCCAGAGGTGTGGCTAATCACTGCTTTGTTGATGTAGAGAAGATATGAAAGAGATTTGTCTATTTTTTAAAACTGAAATTAGCCTCTTCTTCAGGACTGAAGTCATAATGACCTGTTTTGGAAGAGGATATGCTACTGTGCCTTGCTTGCTATTGATCTGTTCTCTCCTACTCAACCCTCGTCCCCACCTTTGTGCACGGGCACCAGTGCTGTTTCACCAAGTCCAGTGGCCCTGCCATGTGCCTTCTCCTGGAAGACTCATTATATTCTAATTTGTACAGAGGTTCCAAGTGGGTTAGCCTGGTATCAGGAAGGTGTAGGAGAGGACAAGTGAAAGAGAGGCTGGGAAGGTCACTTACACTGGTGTATCTGTAGGAGCTATAGTATCGCGAGTTTCCCTACATATCCATTGACTGTGACTGCTGTCAATATTTGCAAAGAATCTTGAGGACTCAGAAATTCTTAAAACATTTATAGAAGGTCTTCGGTGGGCAGAGACTTTGCTAACTGACAGATCTTGTGCGCATCGTGCTTCTTGTATTTATTCATTACACAAATATTGTATGAGTGCTTTCAGTGTGCCCAAAGTCATCTGAGGCTCTGAGCCTAAATGTGAACGAAATCCTTGGCGTGTGTGACGCGCATTCTAGCAGGAGACATTTAGTAAATGAGTAAATACAAATTTAGGTAAGTACAGAAACCAATAAGTGCTTTGAGATAAAAGCTCTTGTGAATATAGTAACGTGAGAGGGAAGTATCTACCTATTTTCTAAAGAAAGTATACGTACGTGGTTCAGAATTTAAAACTATTTTTAAAAGTTCAGTGAAGTCTTGCTTCTTTCAGTGTGAAATGGGAGGGTTTTGAAGCTTTCCCCTTTGTGGGAGGTCTTATATGGGTTAAGACAGGTCACGTTAGGCTGCAAGAATGAGGTATTCAGAGGCAGAGTGGAGGTGCAGTCCAGCACAGGAAACTGGCAAATCACCCATGAAACTAGTCACCATCATTGGGCACAGATGGGGAGTGGGCCAAGGACAGGGAGAGCCACAGGGGAAGGCTTTGGGATGGGAAACCATTCTTACTTTTGATTTTAAAAAATCATTGTTCTATTGCAAGAATACTTTTTCCTTTTAAAAATTAAAAAGGATGTAAATTTATGAGACTCACAGTCCTCAATGGTCATATCCTTTAGAAGAAAGTTCTTTTGCCTGAATTGTAATTCAAATGAGCTTTTTTCTGTAGTTAGTGATAAAAAACTACAAACTTAGATCTACATCTATATATGAAGATTCCCTCTTCCCCATCAAGTAATATCTAATACTACTTTTCTAATCTGTGTACACATATACACATAGCATATATATGTCATTTTGTTTTTCACTGAAACTATTTTTAACAGGTTTACCTCAGTGAACGAAATTAAGCAGAAGCTTGCATTTTGAAGTATATACCACATTCCAGTTAATCCCCTACCTAGGAACGTCTGGGTTACATCCAGCTTTTCACTGTGGAGGATGCTGTGGAAGCTGCCTTCAGGTTTCTGTTCCTGTTAGAGGTCGTTTTCATTCAGCTCGTTTCTTCCCTTGGATGTCTGGTTCTGAGTTCATGAGTGTAAACCCTTTTTCTTTCTTTCTTTTTTTTTTTTGCAGCACTGGGGATCAAACTCAGGACCTTACGCTTTTGAGGCAGGCACAGCACCACTGAGCTAAATCCCTAGCCGAGTATAAACCTTTTGAGCAGAACTATAGCAGTAGACAGATATTTTTACCAACACTTTTTGCTGTTTTCAATGTATACTCCATGCTTACAAGCATAGGTATTGAGTTGAATGGCTTGTGTTCAAAGTCTACTTCTACTTAGTCAATAGCTACAGCAAGTTATTCAACTTGGCTGTGCCTAGATATCCTCATTTATAAAGTGGTAATAGTATAGTGCCTTTCTTATGGTGATTGTGACAGTTGAGGGAAGTGACCCTTAGAAAACATTTGGCATACAGATCCTGGCACCTGGAAAGCACTCAATATATTTAGCCATTATATTCCATTTAGTCTTTTTTTTTTTTTTTTTTTTTTTTTTT